TGTTCTAGTAAATACCGATCCCGACCGACTAAGTGCGGAAAGTTTGAGCGTGGACTTTTCTAGAAAGCTTGATTCTCCTATTCGTTACTAGATGGCGCTGTTGGGAGAGTTCCAGAAAGATCTTGACACTCCTATTTCTGATACTTGATACCAGATGGCGCTAATGCCATCAACTGTGGCGCGAAATGAAACAGAGTAACATTTAATCAACGGTTAATCATATTTAATAAACAAAAACCATTTATACGTCCTTTTTATTCAAATTATAATATTTAAAAAATCTTTCACATATTAATATATAAAATATCACATTAATTTCAAAGTTAAATCACAAATCAGTTTATATATTTTTTTCTAATCATTTGGTTCCAGAAATATCCAAACGTGAGATTATTCTACAGTGGTATACTATTGTAATCCACGGGAAAACTGTAGGGTTAGTGTTTAATTGGAAATTGTGTCGTATTGACGTGTGATGTGACTGTGATGTGCGGATCGATATTGATAATTTTTCATTATTTATTCAATGAAGAAGCATTACAATTTATCATCAAACACCCAACTAAAGAAGATTACCTAATATTATAATAAAAGTGTGAATGAACAATTTTTTTCCTTAGATTAAATAGATCCAAAAAAATTTAAACTATAAATACGACAATTTTAAACCTTCCTTTAATTATTAAATTTAAAATATATTTACTTATTTTACTTGTGATCTAAATGATACCCGCGACTTTTGACGTGGTCACAATTCGCGGGATCACAAGGATAAGGGAAAATAAAAAGGTCCTGTTAACTTTTTAATTTTCCAGGACACATTTGTCCTACTTGTGTTAATTCAGAGTATTCAAATCTGTTCAGTCGTTGTGGCGTGAAGGAGTAACAAACATCTTCAATCTGTTTGAATGCAATTAGGTATAGGAAAAACTTTTACTTACATAGCGATAACGTTGTGGTGATTATTAATTAAGTATTAGGGCGAAACATCTTAACTTTGGGGAATATTATTTTAATTTATATAGATAGGATTGAGCGAGTACAAAAGAGTCGTGGTAGCTCAGATGGTTAGAGCTCGCTGTAAATTTCACAGTAGGTGAGTAAACCGGGTTCAATCCCTGCCGGTACCAATGAAATTGTTATTTGCAATTTTAAGTGCTGATTTACCACGTGCTCTGCGGTGAAGGAAAACATCGTGAGGAAACCTGCATGTCAGAGAAATAAGAAAAAAAAATATTTCGAAGACATGTGAAGTTCGCCAACACGATGATTCCTTGCCCTAAAACCCTCTCAGAAATGAGCGGAGGCCTGTGCTCAGCAGGGGGACGTATATAGGCTGTAGCTTTACTTTACTTTACTAAGTACAAAAGCGTTTTCTACGTTTTCTGCAATTTAAGACGCAGTTTTATACTGATAATTACATTTCGCGGTGTAAAAAATTTGCCTCTGTAGGAACATAGGTGCAGCAGATATGTTAAATTGGCAAATGGTAATAGTGACTGTCCGGAGCTACTAAGTAAGTTTATATATGTTTGTATATAGATTTACAATAAGTGTTCCCCAATTAAGAAAGCCTCGCGTACTCCGTGTGCCGTATACCCGGTCTAAATACAGGTAAAATTCTTTTATGACATGTGCATGTAGACATTTTAACGGCATTTCCGATAGGGTTGACTTGGATTTGTTTAATACCAGTGTTTCTCGAATCAAAAAAGTTTTAGCGAAAAATTGAAAAGCTGTTTAATTTTGTTAATTTACTGTATTTGTCTTAATCGATGTTTGTCTTTTACCGACTAGAATTATTGTTTTTAAGTTCATAATGTCTATAGGTGAAAACTTTTAAATGGCCTTCTAGTTGTTATTCATTTATTTACTGTTAGTCTTAGCTGTAAGTTTTATAAAAAATAATAAAATAAAATATTTAGTTCTGGGCAGTTTTCCAATGTTAGAACCGTTGTAGCTCAGATGGTTAGCGCTCGTTGTAAATTTCACAGTACGCGAGCAAACCGGGTCCGATTCCCGCCGGCACCAATGAAATTGTTAATTGCAATTTTAAGTACTGATTTACCACGTGCTCGGCGATGAAGCAAAACATCGTGAGGAAACCTGCATGTCAGAGAAATAAGGAAAAAAATATTTCGAAGAGATGTGAAGTTCGCCAACACGTATTGGGGCAGCGCGGTGGACAATTCCTTGCTCTAAAACCCTCTCATAAACGAGCGGAGGCCCGTGCCCCGCAGTGGGACGTATATAGGCTGTAACTTTCCTTTTTAATTTTCCAATGTTACTTTTAAGTTTCTATTAATCGTCTCTTTAAAAGTTCGCTCGCTTCAATTCCTATTTTTACTAGAACCTGTTTGTTTTATTTATTTACCAAAGATGTATCTGTCAATCTAGTACTTCTTGCAAACTTGTAACTTTTTTCTTTGAATACCGTTTTAAAATAGACGATCTTGTCACAAAGATCAGCCCCAAAAAAAGTTTTTAATTTTATTTATAATTTTATTCCTTTATATTTATTGTTTCATAAAAGCATTTTATTGTAATAATATAAATGTCGATTTTAAAACTAACTTTTTTCGGTTCGTGTGAGGGTTAATCTGTTTGAAAAATACGACGACGCCAAGTTTAAGAAAAAATGTGGGTTCAGAAAACTTTTTGCTATAGATCTTGTGAAAGACGATATTCCGAGTGATTCTCGTTGTAACACAATAGATCCAGCAGTGCAAGTGGCTTGTGCATTACGGTACTGGGCTCGTCATCAAGTAAGTTCGATTCATACAAAATTAAACTATGCTTACGTGTGGCGTCGGTAGAGAAGAATTCTTCACCTTGCCTCCCCCTTGGACTCTACTGCCTCCGCCCATTTGTGAGTTAGGTGGACCAAAAGATCACCAGCTGACCGACCACGGTGAAAACCGTATTGGCAGTCACTAATCAGCTGGTGATCCTCAAGGTACCTCATGAGCTGGCAGCTTACAATGGACTCCATTGTTTTGGAGAACAAGGAGGTGATGGCGATAGGCCGGTAGTTGGACGGGTCTGAGCGGTCGCCTTTTTTAGGGATCGGGTGGACGAAAGCCGTCTTCCATAATTTTGGGACTACGCCTAGGGAGCAGGAGTACCGGAGAAAAGACGCGTTAAAACCGGTGCCAACTCTGGAGCACACGTCCTCAGCACGATTGGGGGGATTCCGTCAGGCCCACTCGACTTGTTGATGTCCAGGGAGCGGAGTGCTTTGCGAACCGAGCGCTGTATGAACTGCACTTCCGGCATGGAGTACTCACACCGCGGGATGGTCGGCGGCGTACTCCCGACCATCCCGCGGTGTGAGGTGAGTCGAGTTGGACGCAAAGAAAGAGCCTAGAAGATCGGCTTTCTCCTTTGCGGCATGGGCCAGTGAGTCGTCCTCCCTGTGCAGAGATGGAAGAGATGGCTGACAGAAATTCCCCTGGACAGCCTTGGCGAGAGACCAGAATGCACGGGTTCCAAAAAGAAGGCGAACTAGTTTCTATCCAATTCTGCATATGTGCTTTGACTTTGCCTTGGCAATGACTTTTTTTAAGGATCTAGAGGCGGAATTATAATTCTTTTTTAGAGCACTGGAGTTTACATCCCGGGACGCTGATGCGTCAGCCCAGGCTTGGTAGCACTCCTGCTTATAGCATGATGCTATTTTACAGGAGCGACCAAACCATGGCTGAGATTTGCCTCCAATGGGCACCATAGAGGAAGGAATAAAAAGTTCCATACCCTGAAGATGAGCGACAGAATCCGCAACAACGTTGGGATCGTCCGGCGAGAAGCAAACCCGCACCCAAGGGTAGAATGCAAAGAAAGACCGCATCCCATCCCAATCGGCTGACCTATAGTGCCAAACACGGCGGCAGCCTACAGAATGCAACTGCGATTCTAAGAGCTGGAGAATGTTCCCTCTTATACCATAACCATGTAATTTATTCAACAAGATCTTATGGTCCACATAATCAAAAGCCTTGGTCATGTCAATATAAATGGCACAAACTGGATTTTTCTTGTCTACAGATGACATACTATTGGCTAGTAAGTCATACAGTGCCACATTAATATTAGTGTTTTTTCGAAACCCCTTTTGCTTTTTACAAAATAATTAATACTTTTCGAAATAGGTGTATAAAGAGTTGTAGATTACTTTCTCAATAACTTTTGAGAATGTATGATTTTTTGCGATAGGTCTGTAATTTTTTAAATCTGTTATGTCATCTTTTTTATGTAGGGCCTTAATAATAACTTTTTTAATCCATGTTCAAGAGATCTACGTTGAATGAATACAAACGAATATGCAAACACGTCGTTCTCGTTAACGAATAACTCGGCGAGTTTTTTGTGCCGATAATCTAAAGTCTAAACGTGCCATGCGGTTGAGATTTCGCATATGGAGTGTAGAGGTAAGGAGTACAGACTCTGTATAAAAAAGTGTCCGTAGGAAAGCGCCAAAATTAGGGTGGCATCACTGTAGCTACGGTCTAAATTTAAAAGAACATTTTATAATTTTTTAGTTGCACAGACTTTCACCATAATTCTTTTTACAATAATTAATTTATTGCTTTAAAAATTTTTATTTTCAAAATCACTAAATGTATTTTATGGCAATTTATCATACCCTGTAGCTACTCGAGCGTTGCTGTGGAGAGTTTTTGAACTGTTATTTACTGCTTGCTTACCACTGACCTCTATATGTACAAGATGTATAGAGGTCAGTGCTGCTTACATATGGACATATTTTCAACTACTCTCCTATGGGAGACTGTCCTCCTTACCTCTATACTCCATGGTTTCGCACTTCGGACGCGCGATTGTCATTTGTTGTTGTGCACAAACGAGTACGTTGTTGTGATTTGTTGTCATGTCATGTGTCAAATTTATTATTATTCAATTTGAAAATGGCGGACGATGCATCGAGCAGTAGCGCTTGTACCGGTAATTTAGTTGATAATTCGGTAAATCAAGATGAATTGATTATGAAACAACAACGCGAGATAGAGAAGGAGGTATACCTTTTATTTTTGTAACCTTAATTAAGCAATAGTTACAATTTTTTTGTAAATTTACAATAACAACACCGTGTTTATTTGTTTTTAGATATCAGAGACTATACCGCTTGTTGGTGATCTTGAACCCCTATCAACTTTAGAATCGGAATACACTGAAGACCCTATATATCTATTAAAAGTAAAAGACCTTTCCTCCAAGTACAAATATATTAGAAGAACGCGTCCCGATGGAAATTGCTTTTTTCGGGCATTCTCGTATGCATATTTAGAACATTTGTTAACTGATAAAAATGAGTACAACAAGTTCTATGAAATAGCTAAAAACTCAAAGGAAATTTTGGTTGCATTGGGTTTTCCTCAGTTCACAGTTGAAGACTTCTATGAGACGGTAAGTTAAAAGGTTATGTTGTTTATCATATTCAGAAGTGCCTTCAAAGTGTTGTAATTATTTTCCAATAACAATTTATTACACTATTATGTAAAAGTTAGTAGTAATGATAATAATAATTATAATAGCCCATTATTCAGACATTGATACAAAAAAAGATATTGACCGCTAAATCCTCCAGCGGTCTCATGAGATCGCGGCCATATTTCGGCAAATCCTTGGCGGTCTCATGAAACCGCACCCACCCACAGCAACCCACTAAAACTTATATTTAAAGACTACTTTTCTATGAAGAAGTTTGGTGTTAAAGAATCAATATGAAATTTTCTATCCTCTAGTTGAATAAAAATTCAGTTACTCTATAGATATTCATTTATAATCTTCAAAGTTTGTCATTGCAAGTGTTTGTTGTTGTACATTGTTGCATTGGTTTTTGGATTTTTCTAAGTTACGAACAGTTTTTTACATTATAAATTAAGTTTTTGTGCGAATATAGTTTATCTTTTTACGTAAATAATTTTGAGTAATATCTAGAAATAATAGTAATTTTCATGCTACCGACATCCACTTGGTATGTAGTTATCAAAATATTATATAGTATTTTTGTAATGATTAATCCATTGAATAACTGACTTTTGTTTAAACTATAGAATAGAGAATTTTGTATAGATTCTATAATGCCAAACTTCTTTATAGAAAAGTAGTCTATAAATATAAGTTTTATGGCATATGTCCGTCAAATCCCGAGCAGTTGCATGCGACCCCACCCACCCACAGCACTTTAAACCATTAAAACTTATATTTATAGACTACTTTCTATAAAGAAGTTTGGCATTATAGAATCTGTACGAAATCCTCTATTCTATAGTCTAAACAAAACTCAGTTACTCTATGAATTTTTATTTTTAATCTACTGTAAAATTGCACCATTTTTGTATGTTCGGTAAATGTAAATTGACATAAGAATAAAAATAAATACATAGAGTAACTGACTTTTGTTTAGACCACAGGATAGAGATTTTCATATAGATTCTATAATGCCAAACTTCTTTAAATAAAAGTAGTCCATAAATATAAGTTTTAATAGTTTAAAGTGCTGTGAGTAGGTGCGGTTGCATGCGACCCCTCGGGATTTGACAGACGCTTGCGACCCCTCGGGATTTCACAGACGCATGCGACTGCATGGAAATTTTAAGAGGATTGAGGGGTTAATATTACAGGTTAAACTTACATCAGATTAATATGATTTTGATTTTTCTATTTAACTCCTGTCTCCAATTGTCTCTATAATCCTGTCTGTTTGCCTTTCTTTGGCAAAGGCCTCCTCCAATTGTCTCCACAACTCTATTATTAGCTGTTCTGGTCCACATGTTGCCAGCAACTACTTTGATGTCATCAACCCATCTAAATGGTCTACCTCTTTTCCTTTTCTTAACTTGTGTACCATCCATTTGTCTGTTCCTCCGAACTGTGTCCTGTCCATTTCCATTTAGACTTCTTTATTATGACTGACACATCTTTTGTTCTGGTATGTTTTGTTATAGTTGTGGTTTTTACTTTAACATATAATCTTTTTCCCATCATGCTTCTCACCATGGCATGTAAAAGTTAGTGCTTATAAGTAACGTCAAAGTATTTTATTTACAAAAGATGTGAAATTAAAAGTATTTGCATTACTTTGACTTTAGGCTTGTTTTATTACTTTTTGGAGTTAGAGATATTATATAAAGCTCTTCAATATACTATGGAGTTGCTTAATAAATAATCAAATTTTTTAATATATAATGTAAATGAATATTTAAATTAAAAGTACCACTGGGTTTCTTGCTGATACTTCTGAGTACAGATTTTTGTTATGAACCAGTGGTAAAAGCATAAAACGCATGTGTATATGTTGAAACTATATTGGTATAATATTGTAAATTGGATATCAGTCCGACTCGAAACTATATATGGGGAAAAACACTATATTGCTTAATGTTGTGTATCTGAGCACCATTACTCTATGAAGATATTGTATGAAACTGAGTAAGCATTGAGCAGATTACTAATATAGTAATGGAATTAAATTTTTTCTACTGTTTTTTGTAAAAGAAAAGTAAGTAAATTAAAAGTATTTGCATTACTTTGACTTTAGGCTTGTTTTATTACTTTTTGGAGTTAGAGATATTATATAAAGCTCTTCAATATACTATGGAGTTGCTTAATAAATAATCAAATTTTTTAATATATAATGTAAATGAATATTTAAATTAAAGTACCACTGGGTTTCTTGCTGATACTTCTGAGTACAGATTTTTGTTATGAACCAGTGGTAAAAGCATAAAACGCATGTGTATATGTTGAAACTATATTGGTATAATATTGTAAATTGGATATCAGTCCGACTCGAAACTATATATGGAGAAAAACACTATATTGCTTAATGTTGTGTATCTGAGCACCATTACTCTATGAAGATATTGTATGAAACTGAGTAAGCATTGAGCAGATTACTAATATAGTAATGGAATTCAATTTTTTCTACTGTTTTTTGTGTTTTGTACAAGGCAATTAAGATATGTAACTTATATTTGAGAGGTGTATATAAACAAAATAGAAGTTATTTACCAAGACGAAAATTGTAGTACAAATATTATGATTTGAATGGAAGCAATTTTTCATCACACAATATTATTTATGCTTGGGTTTAAAAAATAATATTATAATATCAAATTAATGAAGCTTAAATATATATTATTTAAGCTTCATTAATTTGATATATATTGAATAGTTTTGCACACATTACGCTACATAACATATAAAAATATAACATCATGAAGATGTATAATGTGTATCTGTAAATATATAGTTTCATAAAAAATAGCTTTTTGAAATCTGATATCAAATATTGTGAAATTTTTTTACCTTTACCCTGTTACCCTTTAGTTTTAATATGATACTCAGTAAAAGCGATATACTCCTGTTTAATCTATCATAAATATTTTTTAATATTTCTACTATGATGACATGAGATGCATAATATACTGAAAAAGGTTTTCCGCTGGACACATAAAAGCTAATTTCATTCTCAGAACTTACACATATCTTGAGTTTTTAGTATATAGTGTATAAGTTGAAGGTAGCTCTAGCTGTGGTGGTTAACTGTGAGATGTTAAACACCAGAGGCCCCCTTCGACCAGACTCAAAATGTCACCATCACCATTATGGCCCTTAAGTCCACTGCTGAACATAGGCCTCCCTCAAGGAATGCCACAAAGCATGATCCTCACCAACCAGCACCCATCGACTTCCTTCATGTCTTACCAGGTTGTAACTGCATCTAGTGGGAGGTTGCCCTACACTACACCTACCGGTACAAGGCTGTCACTCGAGAATCTTTTTTCCCCATCGGTTGTCGGTTCTTTGAGCTATATGGCCAAGCCATTACCACTTCAGCTTACTAATCCGTTGCGCTATATCAGTCACTCTGGTTCTACTGCCGATATCCCTCTCCATAGCTCACTCAGCGACTTTGATCATCACGGCCAGCAGTAAAGGACCAAGTCTCAGTTCCATAAGTCATCACTGACAATACGCACTGGTTGTAGTTTCGTTTTCAGGTTTTGAGGTATAGCTGATGAGATGTGTACTATACAAGCACTTTAGCACTTCGATATACCGACAGTCAACTAGACACCCCTGGAGGGACTGTAGCACAGCCCACATTTTGACGGAATCAAAGGCTTTCTTGTAGTCTACATACGCCAGGCAACGTGGCAGATTGTACTCTTCGGTACAATTCGGGTATGTATGTGGTCTGGTACTAAAGCCTTTTCGGAAACCGGCTTGTTCAGGATGCTGAAAGTCGTCTATTCTGCTTGCAAGGCGATTCGTATTGACTCTCGAAAACAGCACGTAGATGCGGCTCAGAAGAGAGATCTGTCTGTAGTTCTTCAAGAGAGCATTGTCACCTTTCTTAAAGAACAAGACCACTGCACTTCTGCTCCACTTCTCCAGAGTAGTGCCTCCATGGAAGGACGGAATTAAAGAGCTTCTGAAGGATTTCAAGTACCTGTTTTTCACCCGCTTTCAGCAGATCCGCTGTAATTCAATCCTCGCCCGGGAAGTTGCCGTTTTTAAAGGCTGGAGAGCCATTCTAAACTCGCTCAGACCGACGTCCTGGATTTTATTGGAATAGTGTCGGATGTTCTTGGATCATTACTAACACTTGTGTGTAGCTCCAACAATGACGTGTACAGCTACCACAGAACCTCTCAATCTGACCCAAAATCTCAGGTATCCCGGATACGATGCTGCCACACTTGGTCTTCAGGTTCGACAGTTGGCTCTTTCTGGCAGACATATCTCTGGCAACGACTTTGAAGACCTGGTTCTGCTCAATCTCTTCTTCACTACGACTACTTCTTTTGTACATGGTAGAGCCATGCATGCATGTAGAGATCCAGAGAAACTTTTTTTACTGGAAACGAGGCATTTATCTTAGTCCTCAGGAGTGACAACGCATCTGCGTTTTGATTCTTAATGGAGAATAAATATAGATGTTTATGGGCCACAGGATCTACTTACTGTCAGGTGGATTGTGTGCTTGTTTGTCCCCATATTCTACAAGAAAAAAAGCGGTATTGAAGTTGCGTAAGTCCCACCGCATGTATTTGGAGATTTGTCTGTTCAGTTGTCTGTATGCTTTCAAATCTGCTGAAGACTGCTTCATTTCCCGTCTAACAGCCGTAACATTATGAGTAGTGTGATCGAAATGTTTTTGTGTTCTTCTGTGGCAGGTCTTGCAGAACTTAGCTCCGATCGCATGGATAGTTTCCAATTTCCGTGAGCTTGTCATTCACATTGTCCACTGTATTGCAGTCTTGTAGGCATTGAAAACGGTTTTGTAATTCGAGCTGAAAGTTTTCGGGACCCTGGATTAAAGAACGGGACAGAGCGTTGACTTCATTAGACGGGACTCCAACTTAACGTTTAGGTTCAGTGTGTCTAACCATTCGGTGATCACTGCCAGATTTCACCCTCGCGAACACTGAGACATCACTGGACAGTTGGCGTCTGGTAGTCATAATAAAGTCAATCACAAAGAATGACAAACACAATATTCGAAAACTTTATTTAACTAAGTTTATATAAAAAGGGTTATTATAATATTAAGGAATTTAGGGATGATAATAACGCCTGGGAAGGGTGATCGCTACCAAGCTATAATTTGTTTTGTGGTCTTAATTGTAACATACATGATAGTAAGCTCTTATTTAAAAAAAATAGTCCCGCTGGGTTTCTTGCTGGTTCTTCCCAGGACAGAGGTCTTTTTGCGAACCAGTGGTAAATCAAAAAAAAGTTACTTTCATAAGTATTATTTTTAATCCATATTGAATAAAAAGTTTCTGTTTCACATTTTTTGTCGAACCGACTGCTGGCCCCTTGGGCATTACCCTACTTTCAGCTCACTGTTCTCTCTTGTGCTTAGTTTTGCGTTGAAGTCTCCCATTTACACCATATAGAGGGTTTTGAAGGAATGCATGGCTCTAGAGATATCCTCATACATTTCCTCCACCTCCTCATCGGGATGTGCCGAGGTTGGCGCGTAAACTTGTATGACCTTCAGGAAATACCGTTTGGTGATTATGAGTATAAGGTACGCAACCTTCGCCGACACACTCCAAATTGTTATAATGTTGTTAACAAGATGTTTCTAACAGTTCAAACATGTATACTGAAAATAATAATGTGACTAAAAGAACAGATTTTATTAAATTATGTGTTTTAACATTTAATAATATAAACATGCAAATACATGAGCAGTGTACTTTTTAACACACTTCTATAACTACTTGTACTTCTACAACTTTCTAAGTTTTTGCTTGTATGATTTTTAGTTTATGGAAGTAGTTCAACGGGTTGGCGAGCAAGCTGGAGGCTCACCAGAAGCAATAGAGCCAGTACGCAGTGAACTGCATCATAAGTTTAACAAACAGGGTTATTCTGACTATATCGTAGTATACCTACGTCTTGTGACATCTGGGCAGTTGCAGACACAACATGACTTCTACCAAAACTTTATTGAAGGCCCTCGAACTGTTACCGAATTTTGCAGACAGGTTAGTTTTTGCCACATCATTTAATAAAAATATACAATTACAAATTATAAAAAAATACTTAAGTTGACTTTTTGCTTAGGTGTTGAGGGTGTATAAGTGTCGTTGCGTTTTTGGCTATTTCTTATTCTGAGAGCTGTTGAATTACCTTTTTTTTTTGTTTATTATTTCTGTTGGTGTTGGTTTTAGTAGTTATAAATCCGTAAGTGTTTAGTAATTGTGCCGTTTTATATGTAATTAGTTAAAATAAAATGGAGGAAGATCCTCCCGATCCCGACGGGGTTCCATGTGACTCCCATACTGGTACGGGAAAAAATAATAATAGTCCTATCGAAATTGATCAGTCGAAGCGTAAAAGATTGCAAGCAACCAATAACTCAGGTCATCCTCAGAAAAGATTAATTACAGATCCATCTCAACCTGTTCCATCTATTCAGACCTCTTATACCCACCCTGAATACATAGAAAAAAAACATAAATATTCTAATAACGACAATGCGCCGTTTATTGTACATGTAAGTAAGAGAGTAGATGATTTATCAACTGGAGTAGTTTTAAAACCGATAAAGTTTGGTCATTTTCTCTACCATAATAATATTAAAAATGTTGTAAGTGATGGTGTTAAGCGAGTAGGACGCAATAGAATTTCAGTCGAGTTTAAAAGTGCAGCTGATGCTAATTGTTTTATTGAGAACCCAGCCCTTGCAGGTGCTAAATATGATACTGTAATCACTTCTTATAATGTCACACGCGTGGGAATAGTGAGGCAGGTCCCTGTAGAATGGACATTAGAGGAACTCATCTCATCAATCGAGGTCCCAGTTGGTTTTGGCTCAATTATTAAAGCTCGCCGATTTAATAGAAAGTCAGTTAATGAAAAGCAAAGCACTGTGTGGATTCCCTCTCAAACAGTTGTTTTGACTTTTTCCGGTCAGAAACTTCCTTCTAACATTTATTGTTTTTTTTACCTCAATGCCTGTTGAGCCCTACATTTTACCTCTTATTCAATGTCACAAATGTTGTCGTTTTGGGCATGTAACCTCACAGTGTAGGTCATCTTCCCGGTGTTTTGTGTGTGCTCGAAATCATGAAGGAATATCATGCACAAGACAGTCTCCCACGTGCTTATTTTGTTCAGGATCTCACACAGCTAAAGATCCTTCCTGCCCTGAACACTCTAGACAGAGATCTATCAAACTTACCATGTCACAGGAAAATATTTCCTATCTAGAAGCATCTGCCCGTTTCCCTTATGTCCGGAGATCTTATGCAGATGCTGCTAGAATCCTTCCTTCGTATGATCATCAGAGTCCCTATCCTATTTCAAATTCCCCTTTACCTTCAGTTGTCCCCTCACAATCTCATTCTTACAGGAAGACTACATTTACTCCAAGACTTCCGCCAAATCCAGCATCAAGTCATGGATATGATAAATCTGCCCACGAGGCAATAATAGATACCCCTTCTTCTTCAACTACTAATGGTTGTGCTTTAATAGGGCGGAGTATTTCCCCTAATGACAATCTCTGTGAGTTAATGATCTCCATGCTTATAAGTATGCTTTCCCGTTTCAGCGATATGGATCTCCCACTTGCCCTCCGCCAAAAACTTACTGAGCTCATCTCATTAACAAATAACCTTCCCTCCAATACTTCAGTGGAACTGCCGGAGCATTAATAATAAAAAAAATGAATTAATTTACCTTATTAATAAATACCATCCCCTCATCCTAGCCATTCAAGAGACATGGCTTAAGCCTGGGTCCCATTTTAGGATTTCAGGTTATTCATGCCTCAGGAATGATAGGAATGATGGTCATGCTGGCTCTTTCATTCTTATCTCAAAATCAATTACTTATACATTAATTTCCCTCCCTTCTCATAGTCCTTCAATTAATGTTGTAGCAGTTAGAGCTCATAACACTTCTTTTCTTTCTATTTACATTCCCGAACCTAGTTTAAATGTTTTATCAGAACTTACGAGGATCATATCCTCCATCCCGCCTCCTATGGTAATTCTTGGTGATTTTAATATGCACCATACTTTATGGGGCTCCCATTTTTGCGATCCCTGGTCTTCTACATTTTTAGACATCATTGATGATTTAGATCTCTGCCTCCTTAACGATGGTTCACCTACACATAGAGTATCCCCCCTCCAAAATCCTAAAAGTGCAGTAGATCTGTCACTCTGTTCTCCTGCTCTGTCGTCCCTGTCTTTCTTGGAGAATATTACCCTTTTCCCATGGCAGTGATCATTTCCCTATTGTTATCAATCCCCCTAGCTCCTATACAGTCAATGTTCCATTCAATCCTAGGTTAAAATATAACACATCCAAAGCAAACTGGCAACTATATTCCACAGTTCTAGAGGAAGAACTTTCAGCCCTTCCTCCTGTTCAGAAAGATAATGTTCTCCAGGTGTATGCTTCTTTTAAAAACGCTATTTTATCTGCTGCCAATAAGACAATTCCCATCAAAAAACCTTATAAAAATAATGCCCCTTCACCACCTTGGTGGGATCAAGATTGTTCTGTAGCATGTAAGAAGAGAAAGGAAGCTGAAGTAAGATATACCCACTCTATGAATTTTGACAACTATATTTTTTATAAAAAAACTGCTGCTGAAACATTAAAATTATTATCCGGGAAGAAAAAGGCTGGATGGCTTAAATTCTGTGAGTCACTGTCGCCTAGGACCCATCCATCATTAGTCTGGAAAAATATAAAAAAATTCCGATGTTCAGTTTTGACCCCTGAAAACACAATTTCTAATGATCAGTCTTATTGGCTAGAAAATTTTGCTAGTAATCTTGCTCCTCCTTCAGTACCATCTTACAATGAATGTATAGCATTTCAATCACAGTCCTTGCACTATCAACACAGTTTTGACTCCCCTTTCTCTTATGAGGAGTTATATGCTGTTCTTAGTGTCCTTAAAGACTCTTCACCAGGAATTGATGGAATTCCTTATTCTTTTATTACTAATAGCAGTGAACCTATTAAAGTCCATCTTCTTTCTATTTTGAATTGTATTTACATGTCTGGTATTCCTCCAGAAGAATGGAAATCCCAAGTTATTTTACCTATTTACAAACCAGGTAAGCCTTACACTGATCCCTCAAGCTACCGCCCTATCGCTCTTTCTTGTACCATGGCCAAAATCCTTGAACACCTAATAAAAAATCGTTTAGAATGGTTTCTTGAAAGCAAACGCCTTCTAGCAACAAGCCAATTTGGATTCCGAAAGGGCTTAAGCACCATGGATAGCCTTAGTACTCTAGTTACTGATATTCGTTTAGCTTACTCTAAACATGAATACCTTGTTGGAGTCTTCCTAGATATCGCGTCTGCATATGACAATGTACTTCTTCCTGTGCTCAGGCAAAAAATGCTCAATCTGAGTATTCCAGTGAGGATAGTAAATTTTGTCTCTAACTTTCTCTCTTCTAGATCCATTTATATTGATAGTCAACATTCTCTACTCCCACCAAGAATAGTATGGAAAGGTCTCCCACAAGGCTCAGTACTTAGCCCTTTGCTCTATTCTATCTATACTTATGATCTAGAGCTTTCTGTTAACTCATTCTGTAACATCCTCCAATATGCAGACGATATAGCTATATATATTTCCTTGGATAACCTCCCTGCAGCTTGTTCCCGCTTGAATTTATCAATGTCCTATTTACATGATTGGTTAACTGATCATGGTTTGTCTTTGGCTGTTCCCAAAAGCAGTGTTGTGATCTTCTCTCGCCATAGGCAACTCCCTGAAATCAACATTCTCTATAATAATGAACCTATCCCAATTAGGGAGAATGTAAAATTTTTGGGAGTTATTCTTGACTCCAAACTAGCCTTTTCCCATCATATCAACTATGTTTCCAAAAAATGTGAAAAAAATATAAATATTCTTCGAGCTTTATCGGGAGTTTGGTGGGGCTCCCACCCATTCTCTCAAAAATTATTGTACAATGCCCTTATTCGTAGTCATTTGGATTATGGGTGCTTTGTCTTGGAACCCTGTAATAAGTCTTCTCTAAAGAATCTAGATAGGATTCAGACCAAAAGCCTTCGTATAATCATTGGGTCAATGAAATCTTCCCCAATAAATGCTCTCCAAGTCGAATGTGTAGATCCCCCCTCTTTACCTAAGAAGACAATATCTTTCGGACCGATTCTTTTTTAAAATCTACCAACTCTCTTCCCACCCGCTCATTTCTAAATTACACCTTCTTTTGGAATATATTTCATCAAAGCATTACTGGACTCATAAAGAATCTCCCTGCTTATCCAACAGTTTGGTAACATTACTCCATCTACCACACCCAGTATCACAATGCAAGTCCTGTCCCATCTTTGATATCCCATATGATGCAATTATTTATCAACCGAATATCCACCTCGACCTTGGTATTGAGAAAGATTGCCCTATAGCAAATAGTAAACTAAGTAGAGTCATAGATAACTTATGGAAAGGCTGGCTTATTATATACACTGATGCCTCCAAAAAGTCAGGTGAAAGTTGCACTGGAGCAGCCGTTTGGATTCCCAGATACAAAATAATCCTCAATTTTAAATGCCCTTCTATTTCTTCCACTTTTACTGGCGAGGCCACGGCAATTTATGAAGCTTTAATTTATATAGAAGCACACAACCTAAATAAGTCAGTTATTCTTACCGACTCCAAAAGCTGTTTGTTAGCAATTTTGTCAAACCAGTTCCAAAGTAAATATAAGATACCCTTGATCCTCAAAATTAAACACACATTGTATACATGTCATCTCAAGGGTATTCAGGTTTCCTTAGCTTGGATTCCAGGTCATAGTGGCATCAAGGGCAATGAAACAGCTGATCTGATGGCTAAAAATGCAAGTCGAAATGGTTTGCCATGTAATTTAGTTTACTCTTCAGACATAGTGTTACTTGCAAAGAAGAAGTTAAATAATAATTGGAATACATTATTGAAAGCCACTAAAAATATAAAAGGTAAACACTATGCTGCTATACAAGGTGCCATCCCTCCAAAACCATGGTTTTTCAAATTTAATAAAGCTAACAAACAGTCAACATCAACTATCTGTAGACTTCGAATTGGCCATGCTTGTACACCAGTACATTTAGCCAAACTGAGGATTAGGGACAGTTCCCTCTGCGAATGTGGGTTAGATGAGGGAACTTCTGACCATATTTTTTTTAACTGTCCTAAATTATCTTCTTCACTCTATGATCACCTCCCTCCTGACATCCCTCGTCCTATAAATTTTGATTCACTTTTAACCTACACAAACACTCCTTATGTATATATTCTGTGTGATTTTATTAACTCTAATAGTATAAAAGTTTAATGTTTGTCAATACTAATATACTAAAGTAGTTATAGCAACTGTGTTTGTCATTTGTCCCAGGTAATTCAACAGTACAACCACTAGTATTATAAGATAAAAAGGAAAATTTAATTGTGTAAATAAAACAAGACACTTGTATTATCACAATCTTCTTTAGTTCATGGGCATAGTATTTGTAACTACTGAGCTTGTACTCAATAAACACTTCCACGCTGACATTGGCGAATAATCAAAAACCGCCATAAAAAAAGAAAGAAGAAAGAAATATTTAAGTTTGTCTCTGACTAATTCTGTCTATTTTTGTTAAATATGAATGAATGTATAAATTTATTTAATACTTCAATTATAATTGTGTTATTCTTTGGATACGCATGCTCATCTTTCCACTCTAGATGGGGTGGATAATCGGAATTCTTATATATTATTTTCGGGTTTTTTTCTCGTCTGTGTACAGTCATTTATAGAAAATGATAAAAACTGGCCCAAGATAATAGACATTACCTTTTTTTCGTTTCCTTTATTGCAATCTGTCACCTTTTAGGGACATTCAGCAGTATGTTGGTTGGTGTGGGACATTACCTGTAAAAATATATACATACTTCTTATTTAAAAGGTCAATCCCAAAATATTCTACACCATAATGAAATTTGTGTAGGTAATTGCCAGAACAAATTGTAGAATTTATAAATTACTGCAAATATTATTTAAAATGAGGAACTTTAATTTGATTTAAATGCAATATGTAATGCATGGAATTCAAAAGGCGGTAACGGTAATGGCAGTATATAATATGTTTTTTTTAATAAGTTTGTGGTTATTTAAAATTATTACTAATAATTAAAATTTATGTGTTGAACTGTACTTTAGGTAAAAAGTCGAAAGAACAAATAAAAGTGAATTTCGATTATATACTCTATCTAGGGTGGGATAGATGAACCAAGTATTAGGAGTATCCATCGAGTATTAGGAGTATCCATCGTAGGGTGGAAGTAACTCTTATAATTTACTTCATATATCTTTCCACATATATGTAGAAAAGTAGTTTTAAGCAACTATGAAAATAAAATGAAATTAAAACTTTATTTTTCAAACATCAATATGTTTTTTATCCACTATTGAGATAAATTTTACATGTACATGGTATAACAACTTATAATTGAATTGGAGAAAAAAAATTTACACGGTATTGTGTAATGTGCTCTTTAATAATAATATAATAATAATGGCTTCTGATGAAACCTTATTTTTACACAAACTTCTGCAAATATGTAATCTTCAAAGGTTTCACTGTTCATATTAAGTTTACTTACAACTTTTGACTCTTATGCTGCTTGTAATAGCAGATTTGTAGGTATCACATCTGGATTACCATTATTGTTACAGCCTACATACACCCCTACAGCTTACATACACCCCATACATAGGGACGTGAAGCAATTTGTTTTTACATCTTTGAAATATTTTTGCAGGTTTCTCTACAATGTTTGTCATCACTGCCGAGCATGTTGTAAATTAAATCTTACAATTGTAACAATTCAACAAAACAATTTCAATAGTCCCGTTGGGGATCCTACTTGCATATTGTGAAATATACTGTGACACAGCGGCGTAGCGAGGGGGAGTCGGGGATACCATGGCCTCGGGTAGCAGATTTTGCAAATGAAAACAATACCCGCTTTATCCTTTGTCGTACTATAGAAGTTTTTTACTGTTTTACTTGTTTTAAAATCCTAAGGGTCCAAGATAAGCCTTTGCTGTGAGTGCTTTAGATCTTAGTAACTTGCTTATCAGCAGCATCTATAGCACTTATATATTTTTTGTTGCAGGAAGTAGAACCCATGTACAAGGAATCTGATCACATTCACATTATAGCACTGAGCAATGCACTCAATGTAGGCGTAAGAGTTAAATATATGGATCGTGGAGAAGGGAGCCAGGTAATTCGATTAGTTTTTTTTTTATAGAATAAAGGTGACAAATGATTACACACTCCACCTGGTGGTAAGTGTATAATGTAGTCTATAAACATAAAATAATTAAAATGCAAATAATAATAATAATAAAGTCTTTATTTTCCGAAATATTTTAATTAAATTATTTCGGTTTAGGTTTAATTACTTCCTTGTTGAACTTATGGGTGTCTTTACTTTCTGAGTATATATCTTGTTTAGTTTTTTCTGGGATGAAGTGGTTGGCAAATCTCTCTCATCCTTTTTTCGCAGTTGGTGGTCCTTGGTTTTTTCACAATTTGCTTGTCGTATATTACAAACGCTATGTTTCCTTTTTCTCTGTATGCTTCCACTTTTGGTTGTAGCTATTGCTATTGCGTATTTCAGGGACTTCCTTGGGGAAGTCTTCTTTGACATATATATCATTCGTGGGAAGGTTACGCTTGTTTTTCAAAATAAGATGTTTTTCAAATTAAAATGCAGATGCATTGTCTTTATTAAATCCCTGGTATCCCTGAAGACTAAGATGGAAGCCTCATTTCCAGTAAGTAGGGTTTCCAGTTTTCAGCACTTAACATACCAAACACAGCAGCATTAAGCAGCTATTTCATGCTGGTATTCTGTTAGTGTGATCCTTCCCCGTTTGAGTCCACCCACTCATGCTATTACCATAGTGTTGCTGCAGTGTGGCTCTACTACATAATATATAATGTTAGATCTTAATGTGAATTATACTAGCTGTTTTAAAAACTGGCTAGTTTCTTGTAAATACATCTGCGAAAATGTGTGTGCACTTTCCTATTAAAAAAATGAAAAACAAATTGCTTTGGAATACCAACTTAGGACTCGAAACAGTTAAGGGTATCTACATTTTTAAAACAATATAATGTTATTGTAAATTCTAAAAATAAAGAGGATGCCCCATTATCAGTGTAGTTGGTCCGGCCATAATTTTGTGCCATAGCTCTTACTCCAAAATTCAATCTCACTTGCCCTCTGTAAACCTTGACAACTTATGAAAGAGACGGGTAAATTATAGTATGTAAATTAATATGACAAACCCCCTTACCTTATATTAGTTGCAAAGTTTTTATTTTAATAGAATAGGGTGACAAACAAGCACATAGTCCACATGATGGTAATGTCCACATGGATGTTGTGGTCCATAATAATTTACATCTATTCTCGAATAAAAATCAAAATGAAGACACGTAATCACCCATAAGGACTAAGATGGAATGCCTCATTTCCGGTAAAAAGTGTCTCCAGTTCTCTACTCTCACCATATGAAACACAGTAGCATTAAGCTGCTATTTTACACTGGTATTATGTGAGAGCGTGATCCTACCTGGTCGAGCCGACCCATTTGTGCTACAACTATAATATAGTTGCAGCATGGCTCTACCACATAAAAAATCTTGGAGACAGTAAAAAGTTATAAGTAATAAATATGTCCGGCACAGGCTTTCTCTAATTTCTGTGCAGGTTATTAAGCAGTTTGTCTGCCTCCCTGTTCATATGTGTGTCGGACTTCACATGGTTTGAAATATTTTTTTCGCATACATGCAGGTCTCAACACAATTATATGTCTTTTTTATGATATACAAGGTGTAAGTGTAAACACCGTTGTCACTAAAACCATAGGTAGTTGGCTTTAATATAAAAATATTTATCAGAATTAAAAAAAAACGCTATTTTCTTTCATAAGATTTAAAAAGTTTCTGTCCAACACCATCCGTAAATTCATGGTTACCCTATGCGCCCGAGTGACGTAATCACTGTAAAGATCACCGCTCGCGCTAGCTACCTACACAACATTCCAATAAAAACACAATAGGTACAGACAAAAATTGGGGAATCAAGGAAAAATTGAGATTTTCTAAAAAAATATGTTATTTTTCATTGAATTTACGTTTTATAAGTGTTAACCACTGGTTTCAAGGATACGGTGTTTACACTAACAGTCTGTATTAATATCAACAAAGTCAGCAGATGGGCAACAGAATCCTCCTGATAACAAGTTGATACTAAGAAAACTGTGGTTATCAACCCATTCGTTTTACAACCATAATATAGTTGCAGCTGCAAGTAATTTTGAATTTGTTGCAGGTAATAGCGCATGACTTCCCCGAAGGCTCGAAGCCATTGGTGCACCTACTGTACCGGCCCGGACACTACGACATTCTGTACGCGTGATCGTACCGTGATTCTGTTTTACCATAATAAATTTAATTATCTTATTTAAGTGTTTTATTTTTGTTAATTATTACCCACATACAACTCGGTTGAAGTAAGTTTGCACTTATGCGGATGACGTAGCAACAAAAATAATCCTAAAACTAAACAAAATAGCACACGAAAATTAAGACGTGCGTATCGGTAACAAAGATGCAAGCCGTACTAACGCGACTGTATGAACGGGGGGTTGAAAATGGGGAAAGGGGCCTTGCATTAACAGTGAAATGCAAACTTAGCTGATCTGAGTTGTACTAAGAATTTTGCAATTTCTTTTCTATTTTCTTTAAAAGGACTACTACACTAGAATTTTGTCCTAAATTATGAATACCTAATAAATATATGACATAAATTTCACAAGGCACAAACCACTAACATCGAGACCCGGAACAATTATTTGTATATCATACAAATACTCGTTTCCTGCGAGGTTTGATTCCGCGGCTGTCAACGTCGCAACTTATACTAAGTTTATGCGCCATGGAGCCGTCTATTGGATGCTACTTAATACCAATGATAACATGTGGTAGTCATGCTGCAGCTATATTATGTTTGTAGCACGAAAGGGTTGGCTCGACTGGGGAAAGACCACACTCTCACAGAATACCAGCGTAAAATAGCAGCTTAAATCTGCTGTTTCATATGATGAGTGTAGAGAACCAGAGCCTATTTTAACTGGAACTGAGGCATACCATCTCACTCCTCAGGGGTGACAACGCATCTGCAATTTGAATATGAATATATAGCAAAGAAAAATGTAGATGTTCATGAGCTTCCACTTACCATCAAGTGGACTGTGTGCTCGTTTATGACTCTTGTTGCATAAAAAATAGCTTTATATTTTTCGAACTTGATCAGAGCACTGTGTAGAAATAGGCATGTTTTTATAGAAAAAGGATGACAAGTGAGCACACAGTCCACCTGATGGTAAGTGGATGCTGTAGAACATAGACATCTAAATTTATCCTCAATTAAGAATCAATACGCAGAGGTGTTGTAGCCCCTGAGGACTAAGATGGAATGCCTCATTTCCAGTATGATAGGGTCTCTAGATCTCTAAGCTCACCATACAAAACACAGCAGTATTAAGCTGCTATTTTATGATGGTATTCTGTGAGAGTGTGGTCCTTACCCGCTCGAGATGACCCATTAGTGCTACAATCATATTTATAGCTGCAGCATGGCTCTACCACATAAGACGTTTACCTGCTAGCTAAATGTGACAAGTATTGCAAAAGGGGGGATTCCTTAGAGAAAATATATGGGCAAAGCCTGTTTTCAGCTGTGGACTTCAATAGGCAGTAACAGTAAATAGTGGTCCTCCCTCTAAAGCAAGTAGTACTTTCCCACGGTGGGCCGGATTGTTGAATGATACAAACAGATGTATCGTTACCTCTGAGGACTAAGTGGGACTACCTACAGCCTGTAATTATACTTGTTCCCTATACCTTTGTGACCGGAACACAGCAGTGGTACCTAATTAAGAGAGACTCCTAGGCAGAAAAAAAGGAGTCCTACCTCCATCTTGGTTTAAAAAACATGTAAAAATGTATGATGATAATTTTGGCAACATAGCTATTTTACTTCTTTGTCAGAGATTAAAAAAACTATGTTGCCACATAAGAAACCATTACTCAATTTCATACTCAATTTGATAAGGAAAATAAAACAACAATTAAATAAAAATGCCTATAATATATGACATTGAAAAAATACAAAGGAATTGAAGCTGAACCTAAGGATAATGTCAATACTATGCATATACGCAGTCAAATAATCTTAAAATCACTGAGATATTAAAAGAAGAATTATATTTTACCAATAAATAATTCATCTGCAGAAATATACGCCATCTGGCTCCCTTTTTGGTTTCATTCCAGCGAAAAAGGCTTTTATGTCTTCCTCTTTCACAATCTCTTTCCTATCTTTGAAGCTCTTCAAGAAGTCTAACAATTTGTCCCTCATTTTGTTGTACTCTGTGAGAGCATTTATTTGCTGAATCCTGTCCAGAGATGAAAGAGCTTGTAAACCTTTCTCATACTGAGATGATGGCTTTCCTTGAGTTTTTTCCATTCCTAATGTTTCATATGCAGTTACTGTATCCTCTGGGTCTATCAAAAAGAGCACACACAAGTCCTTATACATTGATAGACATTCATTACATGTACAAAGTTTTTGACGGAAGTTGGAGGGCCAAAATGTTGCCCCTTTGAACTGTCTCTTAACACCCTTTGGCCTTACACATGTCTTTACTTCTTCAAGTTTGATCTTTTTGGCTACAAAATCTTCTTTAGTCTCCCCTGTTGACAACTTTCTTTTGTTTTCATTAGCACTTCCTAATTCAATTTCATTAGGAACTTCATTTTCTATGTTGGAATGATTAATTTCACTCTCATCACTTACTTTATGATCATTGACCTTTTCGTCTGTTTTATTTTCTTCACTAATTTCATTGACTTGTGTAATATTTTCAGTCTTATCATCATTATCAGGGCATAAACTATTATCATCAATTACTTCTGATGTCTTTGTAGATTCTGTAGAAATAACTTCTTTTTCAGGTTCATTAACTGGTGTACTGTTTTCCGGTCCTGTGTCTTGGAGTGCAGTATTAGTTGTATCACTTTCAGTTTTGTGTTCACTGTCATCTGTTTTATTTTCATCTTTCAAGTCTGTGGTGTTTTGAGTAATATCAGAGTGATCCATTGTCAACTCGGAATTTTCTGGTTTTTCTATATCATTAATAGCTGGCGAGTGTTTACTTGGGCTTTGCGGTTTTGTAGATTCGTTCAAATTATCTTCATATTTTTTGTCAGTAACCACTGCATCATCATCTTCGTTCAACAAATCTTCTTCCATTTTTGCCGTCATCTGTTCATCTGCAGTTATTTCTTCCTTAGTTTTTTCTTTATTTGTTGTTAGTGCAGTAGTTGTTGTAGTAGTTTCATCTTCAGCCTCACATGTTGTTTTATCTTCAACCTCAGATGTTGTTTTATCTTCAACCTCACATGTTGTTTTATCTTCAACCTCACATGTTGTTTTATCTACGATCTCACATGTTTTATCGACATCTTGACTCCTTACTTCTTCTAAAACAGGATTTAACTCTCTTTTTAATTCTTCTGCCGTATTATCATCAGTGTCCTTAGCATCTTCATTTATTTCTTTATCATTAGTTTCAGAGATTTCGTCTTCTATTTTATTTACTATTTCTTCTTCTTTTTCTTTATTCTTATCTTCTTTGGTGTCACAGACAATATTTTCGTTTTCAGATATATTTTTATCTGAGGCACTATTCACAATAGTGCAACTAGAATTAGGACTGTTACTTATATCTTTCTTCTCCTGAGTTTCTTTTAACATTGGTTTAGAGACAATGTTTTCTTTAACTATTTCATTTGAATTTTCATTTTCTTTAATATTTTCTTCCATGTCCGTATCTAATTTTGTGATTTCTTCTTTGTCCTTAAGACTTTCTTCCATGTTTGTACTTAATGTCGAACTTTCTCCTTTGTCATTTTCCAAAGTTAGTTCATTTTGATTTACTTCAGACAATAGCTTTCTATCTGAAGTGTCACTTTCATCTTTTTGCTCTTCTTTATCAGTGCTATTAGTTTCATTTTGATTTTTCTCCTCATCATTTAGAATATTAGATTTTTCTGTTTTACCATTTTGATCAGTAATTTTAGTTTGATCATTCATTTCAACATCTGTATCACCCTTATCTTCACATTCAGGAATAGCTTCTGTTGTATTGATTTGTTCTTTTATTTCTTTTGGTGTTTCTAAGGAGTTAGATGTGCTGCCATTAGACATGGTAATATCAGAGCTAACATCAACATCAACACTGTCAGCAGTAACAGCTATACTACTATAATCATGCAGAAATTCATTTTTTTCCATACAATTTTTACATATCATTTCAGAGTAAAGATCATTGGAAGGCACAACTGCATCTAAATGTGATGCATGAAGCCAGTCCTCACAAACAATGCATTGTATCATTTCATCTTCTACAGTTGACTCTGGGTCAGGATAGGGCCGTTGGCAAATACAATATAATCCACTGTAATTCTGATTGTATTTATTGTCTTCGTTAAGCTCAGTTTTGTTTGGATTGAATTGGCAGGGATGAGAATTGAATTTGGGATTACCACAGTCACAACGAAAGTTTCTTTTAGTATACAATTCAATCAATTCATGGTTTTCATGGCAGGCCAAGCTACATGCAAGGCAAACACCAGCTCGTTTTGAAGGATCAATTTTAGCATCTGAGCAGCAGGTCATACAAGCGTAGAGTGCTTGTCTTTTTATATATCCCTGAAATGATAATTATTAACCTGTTACTTTATATTTTTATGGATTGAAAAGGTTTCTAAATAGTGTTCAAATGTTTGTATGGACAAATCAACTAAATTCGTTAATTCTTCTTTTTGTGCAAATTTTATAGTTGTCATAAATTCAGCTGAGTTATATATTCATTTCTACAAGCCATTATTCACCATGTAGTGATGGCATAGGAAAATTTACAACCTAATGTCGTCTTATAGGTGTTGTATGAATTGACAGAGGAAAATTAGGCAGACGGGCCACAGCAGCGGCTTCCTAATAACAACTCAAAATAATAAAAAACTGTGGTTTCTAAACTGCCTGCTCAATGATAGCAACTTGGACAAATATCTGTGAATATATATGTGGGAAGGCTATATTCAGCAGTAAAATTTGAATGGGCTTCGGTAAATGAAAAAAGTGTAATTGCTTGAAAAATTGCTGTTCTAGTTCACGCATTTAAGTACAGAAGAACTACACTTGCACAGCACTGCACTCAGCACTTCTATAGTATGATAATTGGAGTAAGATTAATTTTATCAACAAGATACACCTCCTAATGTCTTTGTTACATTTCTATTTATTGAAAATACTTTAACATTTTAAGAGAAAGGAAACAAAAGCAGACCTAGGTTATTTTTTGCCTACAATATAGAAATGACACTACCAGGTGGCAATCATGTGATTTCTTGTAATATCTTATTTGAATGAGGCACAATAACTTTACATTTATAAACTAAACTCTTGTATTACAAAATAATAAATCGATTTTTAATATACAATATAACTCAACATACATGAGCATGTTTACTATGTTAGGACCGATTTCCAACGCCATGTTTCTCAAAAACGCAGTACATTTTGATGTTTTATATGGCTTTATAATGAAAACAAGTCTTACCTTTGTATAGGTGCAGTTTTTATCATCAGATGCTCCAAGAACAGCATTAGCGTCTTCTTCAAAATCTTGTTGTTCTTGTAGTACGTCCATCATTGTTACAACTTTTTCACCGTCGCACTCAGCCATATCCGTGTCTCCAGATGTGTTTAGACCGTTTGTTGACATTTTCACGCCGTCTTTTTGATATTATTTTCAGAATATTGGATTTTTTGTTACGAATTACAAAATTTTATGTATTATCGAATACCGGTAAGAAAGGCGCCAACGATTTTACACTGTGACACTGTGAAACTTAAATTAAAACAAGGAGGAAAGAGCGAGCGACAACTAGACATGAAGAATCGATTGTTAATCTGAGATCGATTAATGAAAAATCGATTATTTGAGGTGAAGACACTTGTTTCACCGCCGACGAGGAAGCGATTAGCTATCAACTATTTTCTCGCTCAAAAACGAATACAAGTACACAACAATAAATAGAGATCCCGTGTCAATAAAAGAGATACATATTATATAAATAAGCGACGCTCGCTTGAGGGTCAGAACTCACGGTCACGATCAGCCATCATTTTACTCTACAGTGCGGATCTGAGTGCGCTCGCCTATAGCCACAAACACAAACTAATAAGAGTACTAACGTATTATAGCCTAGCGACAAAACTATCGGAACTACACGCTCGCTTCTCGTTCTCGCTGCTCGCCAACTATAATACATAGTTTCTAGTTCTACTTCTTTCTCGTTCATCGTTGGCGGTGGGTTTCCGTATATCGATTATAATTTTAATATAAAATTATAATCGATTTTTTTAGATCGACATGTACAATAAGTTTAAATCAGATCCAGTGTTACATGGTGTAACACCGGATCTAATCAGTAACTCGATTCAATCGATCCTCGAATCGAATCGGACCAATTCACGTAAAAGTCAGTCTTTAAGTATGTATGTTATTTTTAAACACATCTTTATTCAAGATTTCAAGATGTGTGATCACATAACACTATTAATCTGTGTGTGATAATGTTTTATTTTTATATAGAGTTTTGGCGGGAACTTGGCCGTCGACGGATTGTCGCTCTTGTTTTGTTGCTTGAATAATGGTTTGAAATGGATTTTGATAGTGTCGTGAATTGAGTGTGTGCGCGGGGGGTGAGAGAATTGGAATCAGAATAGTGAAGAATTTTGGATATGAAAGTAGCCAGTTAAATTTTATTTTATTAAGTTAAACCTCCTAAGGGTAATGGATGTTTTGCTAAACTGCGCAAATGAAGGTGAGGATGATAATGATGATGGTTTATGATTTGGTATTGTTATCAATCATCATGTTGCCTCATTGGGCGTTTTTGAGCTATCTAGCCGCTGTCCGAGTGGGGGACTACGCTCTGGCAGGTACAGTGTGTATGCGGTGTGCGTTAGAACACATCGTGCCCGCCTATGGGTGCGACGCGCCTCATTCATAACCCAATTTGTCCTTGTCCTAATTGGTGTGGGTGTAGTGTTATTGTGAGATGTATCTACGACGTTTGGGTCGACTGGATCGAGCGGTCATGGTGGTTCTATCAGTACGTTTTGCGGTCTACGCATATGGGACGCGACGTTTGCTGTTGGAACGTAGTTGGCTGCGTTTGTCACTTGGCGCTTCAGAAGCGGGTTTACCTAAACCCACCTGGGTTTCGAAACTATCGAAATAGCGCTGAGACATCTCCTTAAAGTATTCGGAGATAGAGGGAATTTCACAATTATTGTTCAATTCTGAGTTCCGTTCATACCACCGTGCACCGATGGCTTTTCGGATGAAAAAGTTTTGGACTCTTAGAAGTTCTTGTAGATGGCTCTTATAAGTGTGGGCAAAAGCTACACTTGCGTAAGACATTATGGGTCTAACGCAGGTTTTGTACAGGCGGAATTTGTGTCTTAGCGACAGCTTACTCTTGCTTTTAAAGAGAAGGTGAAGACGGCCGATGACTGTCTTGGCTCTGTTGCGTACTACACTTATGTGTTTTACGAAACTCATGAGGGTGTCGGGTCATTTTTTTCGGGATTCGCATCTATTCTCCGTAGGCGGAACCATTCGCCTAGGTGATTGGTAGCTTTTTGGAGTTTTAAGGTGAGACTGTTTTCATTGTAGTCGGAAACCTAGAGTGCCGTATCGTTGGCGAAGAGTGCGGTGTTCACCACTGGGTGCCTTGGGATATCACTCGTGAACAGTGTGCGCGTGTGAGTGGCGTACATTACACGCTCATGCTTTGGTCATTCAAATCCATCAATCATGATTGATAAAAAACGGATGGTGACTCATAGAAACAAATGGGCATTACACGCTCATTCTGACTAAACGTCAGTCAAACCCAAAATTTCAGAGGGAAAGGATGGAAATTCATAAAAAATTGGTTGACCCTGCAGGCCGTCTCTGGAATTTCTCGCAAATTTCAAATGCAAAGCACTCCAAATTTCACCAAATTATGTTGCGAAATCTCGAAGTTATGTTAAGAAAAAGTTTTTTTCAAATTCTTTCTCCTTCGATATCTCACCGATTTTTATTTTCTTAACGGCATTCGACGTCATTTTCTTGAGGTTAAGAGTTGATTAGTTTTTGAAATCGATCGGTAAAGCCGTTTAAAAATTATTCCAAAAAAAAAAAACAGTTTTCACAATTTTTATTTCTGAGATTCAATCGATCAAGACGTTCAAAAAGTTATGAAAGGTTTACACACACACACATACACACACACACACACACACACACACACACACACACACACACACACACACATTGTGTGTGTTGCTTTACATACCTTTCATACATACATACAGAAATCACGTGAAATTAGTCAGAATAGCTTCCTGGGATCTTAAAACGTCGAGATCTGATGAAAATTTGACTTTTGAAAATCTTTTTTTAATTTCAATTTTCTTAGCTAATGCAATGCACGATGGAAAATATCTTGAGGGAGCAAATAGAAAACGGGTAACACGTTCGTAATCCATTTATTGGCAGTTGTGATCTAGCGACAAAAGGTGGACTGCCTTCCAAGGTTGTGCCATTATTATGTTACTATACTACTTTACGTAGTAAAGTCACGTTGCAGCTATAACAGTTGTAGCACGAATAGGTTGGCTCAACTGGTGTAGGACCACGCTCACATAGAATACCAGCGTAAAATAGCAGCTTAAGGCTGTTGTGTTGAGTGTAGAGAACCAGTGACCCTTTTTACTGGAAACGAGTCAATCTTAGTCCTTGACAGCCGTAGACAGAGAACCTATAGACAAATTGGACACCTTCTTTCGCTTTCGCACACGAAAAAGATAGATTTATGCATACGTCTTGCATAGAAATGAGACAGAGGTGTCGCCAATCACTATAACATTGTCAGTTGCTGGTACGGATTTCACTAGTGTCTCAAATTGCTGGATAATGTCAGTTTATTATTGGCAGGTGGTCTATATATGGATATTACATGTGTTATAGTTTTCCCATGCTTCACTTGACCATGAAGTGTTTCCACTGCTTCTGTGTTTACCATTTTAGCTTCGAAATTCAATCCATTCTTAGCGTATATTCCTCCTCCTCTTCTCGTTTCTCTAGTATATATAAATGTATTATATCCTATTTGGTACAAGGGAGTTCTTCCTTCTTAATATTTATTTCGCTTAATATTAATATATCTATATTATATATATTTTTATCAAGTAGTATTGATAACTCGTTAAAGTTTTTCCGAAGTGATCTTATGTTCAGATGTAATATGTGGGTATTCCATATATTTTGGGATAAATCGTTATTTAGAATCATATATCATAATATCTTTTAAAATTAAAATTACCCGAGAAGATATCTGTATGATCGCCTTTTGCTGTTCGTAATCACCTCGTGTTTACTCGCCGCATTATGTACGCGTGTTTATTTACATTCATCGAACTTTTTCAAATCCTTCTCCGACCTAATGTTTTTAAATCTTTTTTCATCACTATTCTTTTTGACCAGGGTACTATAATTCTGTACCCATATGTATTGAAAACTTTTCGGTTTAAGTTTATTTTTTACTGTCCAAAGAAGTTGTGGTTTGTATTTTGGTAAATCTTCGTTAATGTATATTCGCTTCTCACTGCCATTATTATAGACTTTATTATTCGTTGTTTTGGTTTCTTTTTTACAAGCATCCAGCTGTTGCGAATAAATTTCGACCTCAACGTGACCATCACAGTCTTGGGCTTTGTGTCATCTTGTTTTTCATGACCTACCCTATGTGCATCTAGAATTCCATTTGGGTCTAGATTTAGTTTCTTTGCCATTTTTTGGACTACTAATATAGTATTTTCGTTTTCATGTTTCTCTAATCCGTGAATTTCAATGTTTTTTTATTTATCTTTTATTTCTAACTCCTATACCCGTTCTTCTAATGCCTTGTTACATTTCTCCAAATATAAATTTTTTTGTTCTAATGCCTTAATATTCTTTTGAGATTCTTCTTTAAAATCAAGTAATGTCTGATACATATCAGTATAAAATTCAACACCATTGCTAATATCTTCTATTTTCTTCTCTCGGGAGATAGCCTCGGCTATAAATCACCGCTAACTTTTTATTAACCTCAGGTAAAACGTTATCTCCAGACTCTTCACTAGAGTTTAATGTTATTTTCGATCATATACGAACTGTTTTGGGCTGCTTTTATTTGTCTGGCATTCGTCACATAGCGTACTGTTTAGGAACTTTTTATTTACACATTTATTATGGTAAACATTTTCACATTCTCCCTTACATCTCACTATATCCTCTTTAGCCAAAGAAAGAAACAGTTTCCATTTCTTACATTGCACCATTTTCACTTATGCTTAGGTAATTATTTGCGAAATTGGTGTTTGGTCACTGCTAACACACTTAAATCGATACACACAACCATGCGTTGAGCGCGCGCGCACGAGACTGCAAGCAAAGCAGCAAAAGAATTAGGTTTTAGGTTTAAAGACATTTATTCTCATAAAGACATTTTATACGCCACTTACATGAGAACATTAATAAAAGTAAATCTAAATAACCAAATTCATTGTCGGACCTATATTGTTGAAAAATAAACAATAGCAAAAACAGCTATCGACGGGAAAAATCCATAATACTAATAAAAGAAAAGTTAAATTCTGGTATAAACACCACAATAGTAAGAC